ACCACTGGAGAAAACGAAAAGGAAAAGTCTTTCTTTTTTCCCTTCTTCATATTCCCCCCTTTATTTTCCTTTCGTTTTGCCTCTCGTTTCCCTCCATTTCTTTTTCCTTTGTACGAATACCGTTCTACACGTATCGCCTGTGAACATATTTCTCTTACCTCGTTTCCTTGTGACGATACAAGAACGCTCTGCTCGTTATACCGATTATACACATATGTATGTATTTAATAATAGGATATCCTTATTATAGATTCGAGTGAAAATGATAAAAATGTCTTTTATCACGTTGAAATAAACTGTTGAGTTTACTAAGCACGAGAGAGTTGGTTGTGTTCTTCGCGCTACTGAAAAAAGCGAAAACAGAAACGAATGGAAGTACATATTAAGAGGAGAGGAGTAGAGAGAGGAGTGGAGAGAGGAGCGAGGAGCGGTGCGGTAGTACCGCTACTTTACGCGCGTTCGATCGAATACCGGAAAAATATTGTATATCGAGCATGAAATCATTCTCTTGGCTAACTTCACTTCGACGATAGATTTGTAACATGCTCGGTTGTTCGCTCCGCTCGTCCTTCTCTGTACAACCTTTTCCCTTTAAAGCTTCCTCCTTCTCCGATCGAAATATGCAACTATATACATACGTTGCGATCTCTTCGATCTACACGTGTACAGTAAGTAGCCATTTTAACACAGCCATGAACCTGGGTACATACCGATGCTGTCTGTACGTGGAAATCTAATTTGAATTCCCGCGCCGCAATCGCCCCCCGTTCCCTCAATTTCATTAAAGCTCGGACCAAAAAAATTTTCTCTTCTGGACGTTCAAGTGAAATTCCAATTAGTTTTCCTACAAATAGTACATTACTCTGATAATTTCAAGAAATCGACAACGAGGTAATTATGAAATTAACCGGAAAATAGTTAACCAAATGTCATCGGTTATTCCACATTTCTTTCTTCGTTCTTTTCTTCTATCGTACTACCTCTACTGCCCTAAAGCGTACGTTTCTATTATTTTTTTTACAACAGACTTTATTTCCAGACTTTACAGACAAACTTGGAAATGTGCGTTTAACTCGAAAACTAAAATAGCAATTTTAAATAATATCGTTTGGCCGGCCACTGTCAAGTAAGACGATAAGTAAGTTTGGACACTGTTGCAATAATCTAAACGTACGTATATGCACATATGTATGCAAGTACGTGTACGTATATACTTATTGTTGGCTGTAGGTACTACTGCTTGCCGTTTCCGTAGCCCTCTGACGGCGAGGCTGAAAGGCTTTGATATAGGACTATAAAATGTTTCGCCATCTAACGTCATATTTCGAAGCACGCTAACCGCCTGTATACCAAACATCTAAGTTATCGATCGTCGCGAAATTCGATTTTGCATACGTAGTATGTACATACGAAAACGACGAGACTACGTTGATAAAGGTGTTTGCGTGGGGTAATGGTGAAATGAAATTCGTTTATTTCGCTATTTTCACGAATAAAATATTTACAAGATCGATATTACGTAGGTACATAGTAATATGATATGAAATACATTTGACAGATAACATCGTGGCCAAAAACAGATCGAGCGTATGTCAATGGTTAAAGATGTTCCAAGTAACGCTTAGTTTATAAATATAACATATAAGCGTAACCTGAAGAACAATGCGACCAACGCAACGTCCAATTTGCGCGTATCTCCTTTCCGGATGTTTTTATATCAAGTACATGTACGTAACACTTGATCCACCTTTCATCGGGATCGAAATCCCCTCAACTGGCCTGGTAAATGGCCTCACGTTACATTTCACAACTGCTCTTTTCCAAACTCTCAAACTCCTGTTTCAAATCGACGATCCACGCGACGATCCACCGAACGAAAGGCTAATTTATCTGTTCTCACGTTTAATCGTATGCTCCAAAGGCAAAGATCGTCGCGGCTGATTTATACAGGCACAGACACAGCACACGCAGCAGACGAATGAAAATTTGGAGAAAACTCGAGACTATACGTGTACGATGGGAAATATGGCGAATGATGGCGTATATGTATGTAGATTGGTCGACTCGTTCCCCCTTTCCAAGAATCACTGCTCCGTTAAACGGTATAAACCGCCTCAGAATGATGCGACTGCGAAGGCACGCAATATCCGCTGTACGTTTTAATCTCCAGAACGCCGGAGTAGGACCTTGCCGGAAGGGAGCCTGGATCGGTGTGCCTTCTAGGACATCGATGACCTTTTGGACACTGACACAGAGGCGAAGCGTTCACCTCTTCGAGCTGCGAGCTTCGTCTCTTTCTTACCGTGAATAGTCGACATGGCTCCTTGTGCTGGCAGCGCAGCCTCTGAAATGTCCATTCATTTTCAAATCGATACGAATAATCCCAAAGTATAGAAATCTTCTCCCTTTGCCTTATATGTATTATTTTTTACACAGTACGACATTTCCATAGTTTTCGTCTGATTTCTCACATTCTCCCTCGTTAGATTCTCAACAACAAGTATCTTCCTGAGAAAACACAACTATGTCGTCGTTTCTTTTTTCTCCATCTGTCAAGATGCGAATTGATATGTAAGCATGTACATACATATATGCAGTAGACTCCCTCTTAACCGGCCCATATGGGACCAGGCCTCTGGCCGGATAGTAGGTAGTAAATACAATAAAAAATACATATATATCTATATAGTATTTATTATTCACACATAAAGTCTAAATATAATATATCATTGAACAATTATTTATATAAAGAAATGAATAATGAGCTTCGATATGGCTGACGATGAGTTTGATGTGCAACGGTTGTCGATTGTCTTACGTCCAAGTCCCCATTACTGCTATAGAAAAATCACAATCTGTTTCTACGGAAACCATTGGCCGGTTAAAGCGGAGCCGGATAAGTGGGAGTCTACTGTATCGTATATTATTATAGAAGATGAAGGTGAATCGAATGGAGGAGATTTGAAATTGAGAGATAAGAAGGGACGCGAATGGAAACTTACGCTTTGGGGAGAGCACGCGAAGGCATAAATAAATCCTGGACTTCCCTCGGAAGACCTGTAGGCTTGTCTTCGAACTAGATAAGGTACACTGCCCGGTCGACATCGGCAGTAAACCCGCTGAACCGTCGCGTTCGCCGGCCCCCCTCCGGGAGCTAAGGTCCATGTGACGTCTCTGCAAACGGCCATTTTCCCTCTATATGTATACTATACACGTTAAGTACTTACTTATAGTAGGTAGGTTGTAAGTAAGTATGTATAGAGTGTAGGGCGGGTGTTTGATCGCTCTCTCATTCGTTCCGTTCACTCACACACGCGCGCACACACAGAGGACTTATAGGCGAGGATCGCGACTAACTTGAAGTAGCGACAGATGGGAAGACGTTTCACTGGCTCGCATAGCTTGTACTGGCGTGTTTTATCGACTATCGTGTGCCCGTCGTCTCCGTACAAACTACTAGGACAGGTACGGCCATCCGGACAACGACATTGTCTCTCGACCCAAGGTGACCCATATAAATCCACCTTGCTGCAAACTTCGCTTCGGTCCGAGCATTCAGGCAACTCGTCCTCGCTGTCCTGAAAATCGACAAACAACCGATCCGTGATCCTTCCTCCACGATTCTCTCTATTTTTATTCCTTACGCACCCTAACAGGTGGACTCGGATGAAATTGCCCGTGCGTGATTCAGGGGAAAGTAACGAGTAAGTATTATACCATTTCCACCTGCTATCTTTACACGACGGTTGCCCCCCTTAGGACGAGAAAGGGAGGACCCCTTCAACTTTCATCTTACCAATCAATTGGCAAATTCAAAGCAACGTAATACCTACTTACAAACATAGGCGTAAGATCGGGTTTCCGGTAATTGGTTACATCGTACCTGTATTACGTATAGGTAGATTAGTCGAAATGTCGAGTCGCGAATGAAAAAACAAAACTCGGCAGGAGAAGGGAGGTAGAAAGGGAGCGAAGGAAGCTCTGTAACATGCTCAAGAGGTACATGTACGTGTCTCCCCTCTCCGTTGAAGAATAGACATCTGGTCTAACCACACTATTCAAACGGCGTCGGTCAATCCGCTGAATGAGGCAATCACGTACGTCCTGTCGACTCCGCGCTCGCAATCTACGCACTGCTCGGTCACCTAAGTTAAACTCCTCAAATTCCCTGGCTGCTTTACGTAAATTCTCCTCATCACCAGAATCCCCTTCTTTCCTTTTTTCCCCGTTCCTCCTATTATCTACATACTTATTACGATGCACCTTGCCAAACAATTTCATCGCAATAGAAGAAAACGTTCAATCTAAACGATAAGTAGTCTCTTTCGATATACATACATATGTAAAATACGTAAGTACGTATGTATAATAATACTTGACAAAATAAGAACGATCGGTCGTCGCGTCGGGGGGCTTTTCCCACTCCCCGCAACCTCCTTCTCTCATATTTCCTTCTCTTTCTTCGATCCCCACCTCTTCCTCCGAATGTGTTCCCAGAAGATTGTACGTATATTAAAACCGTCGGTGGCAGCAAACTAAAATGGGATAATAGAGGGACCGGAAGGGCTGCGCGACCCATCCGGAAGTTCTCACGCGTCTCTCGCTTCTCTCATAGCCACAGTGAAAATGACACCTGGTTCTCCTCTTTAGCTACACATGCGCACGCATGTATGAACACGTGTACTTACTTACGTAGGTAAGTAGGTATACATCGTGACAGATGATCCAGAGAGTAGGCGCCGCGCCGCATATTTCGGTACATACATATGTATATTTGAAAAATCACCTCGACCGAAAAGGGATAATCTGATTTGGGATAAAAGCGGGCCAAAACGTGAGAAAAAAGACGGAGAACGTTACGTAAACATATGCAAGTAGTGTATGAGTATGTAGGGTACTACGTAGTATAATATGACAGCATCTCGATAGACCGTATACGCGTAACGGTAACTTGGCGTTTCGAGACGTGGATCACTTACCCCGATTTGGTAGAGAACTCTAGGCTGTTGGTGCATCGCCGGTCGATGTTTCCTCTTCTGATCGATCAAGTCGAGCTCGATCGCTGTGTCTTCAAATTCTTGTAACTCGGCGAGGGACAAGTACTCGTTGAGAAGCTTTTCACCTGCTTCGTCCAGTTCTACGCCAAGGAGGCTACCCTTGCTTTCACGAACGAGCAGTTGCCCGAACATCGCCAACAAGAAACAGATCAAATCGGCCATCCTTTCGCGCGCACGCGATTCCTCTTTCTATCCTATCCCTCTCTTAACCCCTTTTCCTCTTCCTTCTTCTTCTTCAACCAAGATGTAAACGATAGAAAACGAACGCGTATTTTTAGGATCGGTGATCGTCGCGATCACCGATCACCCAACGAATATCCAGATCGCGATGCGAACTATGGACGGCGTTCCTCGAATGAAATGAAAAATTGCAGATCAAAGTAGTAGTGAAGTACGCACATACCACCAACGGCCAACCACTACTCTACGATACATCAAAAGTACATTCCTTTTATCGTTTCAGTCATCGTAGCGGCGCTAAATCTCTGGTAAACAAGATCGTAATCGGAAAAGTAAGGAACGGATATATCGTTGCACAAATCGAATATGTTGTCCCGTGTTATCGGGTGCAGCCGAGTCGAGTCGAAAGAACGCTTCTGGCGCAAATCCGATCGATCGATTAGATGATAAACCACTTCGAGATTCGGATCACTTTTCAACCGTTATGCCAATGTATGTTCGTTCGTTCGTTCTTCTGTTCGTTATCGCGTCGAAGGAACACGTTCACCGACGCGACAATGAGAACAGCCGCAACAGCCGTGGTTGACGTTGCGCGCTCTCCAAAACAGTCTCCCTTTACTCCAATCGCGTATACACCTCGCACTGTACGTTCTCGTGTCCTTGCGTTCTCCACGTTCTCTATCTTCTGATTTTCGAATATATCAGTCCGAGGATCGAACGGCTCGAGCAACGTTCGTGTCGCGCGAACCTATATCATTCGTTCAACTGAACTTCCAATAGCTAGAGGCAAAGCATGAATGAGTACTCCCTTCTCTCTGCTCTTCTTTCACCACTCCACTTTACGCCACTCCATTCCCCATGCACCCCACCACACCCTATCCCACTTCACTTCACTTCGCTTCATTCCACTCCACTCCACTCCACTCCACTCCACTCCACACCACACCACACCATTCCACTTCACTGGCTCTCTTCTTCCCTTCCATACACCTTTCTCTTCAAGATGCAACCACTGGCTCCGAGCACTACTTGGGCCTTTCTTGCTCCACCTCTCTCTCTCTCTCTCTCTCTCTCTCTCTCTCTCTCTCTCTCTCTCTCCCTCTCTCGTCCTCTCTCGCCCTTCCCCTTCCACGCTTTTATTTTCCATCTCGTCTCTTTCCTCTCCTCGCTGCTTCACCGTGCTCTTTCGCGTTCCTCTCACCCTCTTGCCCCTTTCTATTTTCCATTCTTTTCAACATCTTTCTTCGGCCGCCTTTCCCCCTCTTTACACTCTACGCTGGTATCAGACCTTTCCTTTTTCCTGTCTCTTCCATTCAACCTCTTTTCTCGTTCTACCTTCTTTCAACTTCGTCTCCGTCTCCGTCTCCGTCTCGGCGGTCCATGGGGACGAAAGAACGGCGAAATGTTACTCGACCGATTACCATTTTACGAAATTGCAATATCGCGTTATTGAAAAAGGGAAAAACAATCCGTCCGACAGCCTACGTACCAAGTATGTACTCGTACACGCGTAAACCGTGTGGGCGTTTCGCGCGCTTCTCAAGATCGACTCAAGCGTCACCATGTTTCAAACACCTCACTACTATAAACTCTACGTATTCAAATAGCAAGTGGTATTCAGAGGATACGAAAACAGAATGCCTGGCCAAAATATTACAGATCGGAATATTAAGTCGTGAAAGATTTTCCAGAGAGGTCGAGCGTTGAGGATCGCTGTTTCATTGATCGAGGCCGCGATTCCATTCACTCCTACTTTCTCTCTCCCCTTTACTCTTCTTTGCTCCTTTCCCTTCGCTCCTCGTCGACTCGTCGATTTGTGCAAACCAATGGAACGAGATTCGATCTGATCGGGCTGAATCGGATAGGATCGGATCACAAAACCGTGCGTATAGCGTAGTATAGCACAGAGTACCTTTATCGTACCCTACGTACGCGTAGGATCGCACGCGGGGTATGTATATGTATAATATTATCGTTTTGTATACTGTTCCTTTTTCTCTTCCACCTTTTCTCGAGAACTACATATAGTCTCTCCGTTCGAAGAGAACCACTGGTGTGTGGATGCGTGTGGATGCGTGCGTGTGCCATGAATGAATTCTCAGCGCGTAGAGAGGGGAGTAAGAAGACTCGGTTACTATTCGGTGGGGAGGTTGAAAGGGAGTAGAGTAGAAAGTCGGGGGTTAGATAGACGAGGTTGGAGGAGAGAGATCGCAGCATTGGAACTAAAGTTAGAAATCGAGGGTTGTGGTTGACGCATAGTAAGTGGGGAAAGGTGCACGCACACGAGTGAGTAAAAAAAGGGGAGATTCTTGCATGCACCGGCGACGGTGCAGAGAAGGATAGAAGATGAAGGACGGAGGGCAGGTGAGTACAGGTGCCGCAACCTACGACCGGAAACTCTATGCTTCTTACTCTCCAACTCTGCTCAATATGTATACACGTCTTCGCCGCCCTACCGGATAATCTCGAGCGACCAGCCAATCATTCCTTCATCTACATACTATCAATTAACCGTGCACATGCTACGTATTTCCTATTTCAAACCTTTCCATCGAATCAACCAACCACTGAAATTTTCCATACCATTTCCAACCATATCGGTTCAAATATCTACGTCTCGTTTCTCAACATTGAACGTACGATTTAATCGCTGTATTGAAATTGACTGTAATATGTGAGTACAATTGGAATTTCTTTCAGGAAAACTGTACGCAGCATTCGGAAAGAGACAAGGCCGTGTGGTCGCCGCGGAAAGTGCTCTCGGATTTGGTGGGCAATTTCGCGTGCTCGCCACCTTACCTGTACCAGAGAGTTTTCAACTTGCCAGAGAACTGCGAACGCAAACGTCCGGGCTAGCCAGTCCTCAACTGGTTTTCAGTCATTGGGAGGCAAGTTTTTCCATAACGGAAACGGAATTATTTTTCCTATAATCTTCCTATTTTTCCGCTTTCCTTCATCGCCAACGTTCAAAAAAAAATCTGACTCACCAAACTACTCTTCGTACACACTACATTCGCAACACTCCATTTACATTACTATTCCTTCTTTATTCATTTATCTCTCTTACCTTACCTAACCTAACCTAACCTAACCCTTTTACAATGTTTACGAAAACTTTCAAGAATATCAGTTCCTTAGACACAGTTACATATCTTGCATCATTTTTTATTTTCTGCCATCGAAATATCTGACAAATGTCCCGAGAATAACACGTGAACGTCTTATTCGCACGGTAGGTGATCGAGCAAGACCCTTATTGGACGCCTTCCACCGACGAGGAATACCTTCACTTCGGTGACAAAGCAGACAGCGAGAATAGAGCTAAGAAGTACATAGATGCAGTCCGTCGACGCAAAGGTCTGCCAGTGGATTCTCAACTAGTTACGCATGCGGAAAAACAACGTACTCTTTCCAAGAACAAGTAATCCTGGTTGACTAAACGTGATGTGTTCCATCTCGACCACACTAACGGTCAATTTTACGGAACAGCCGACAAAAAAAAAAAAAGGTTGATCCGATCAATTTCTATCATTTTCTCTTCTCCTCTTCCTTCATCCTCACAAAAAAGTAAA